AAAATTTTTATTTTATAATTTAATATAATTTAAACTATAAAATAATTTTTTTATTTTCCTTTTGTATCAAAATGTATCTTTAATAAAAAGTTTAATATGAAAGAAAAAAAAAAGTGTAGACCTTTTGGGACGTGGCATTGTGGCAATAAGACCAGCGGCTCGCTTTTCGTACCTTTTTAAAATTCTGGCTGGAATTTTCGTACCTTTTCCAGTTAAGATTACTAGATTCGGCAAATATTACTTTGTGCCCTCAATCTTCAAAGAATTAATGATTATATTCTTAATCTTTTTCTTTTTTCTGATAAAGATACTCTTTTTTTGTACAAAAACATTATTTAGTACTCTTAAATACCTAGGGAGTATTGTTTAGCACTCTTTAGCACCAACAATTACCTTTTAATCATATCAAATGTGATGGCCAAAAAAAATTATCTCAAAATGCGTTATATATATTAATTAAGATTCATGAGTTTAACTTTTTAATTTTTTCCCTTAATTTTATGGAAATAATTTAATTTAAAGGAATTTTTCTTTGAGGAAGTTTATTAGAGATTACCCAACAATCTTTTTTTGTTAGAAAGAGTTTCTTAATTTTACACATATTTATAAGTTGATCTTATCTCAAATAACAAAACATTTATTTTTTTTTTTAGTATTAACCCTTTAACATCTGATAGTCACATTAGATTTCAATCAATTTATAGTCGAATTACGTTAGATCCCATAATAAAAAAAGATCTTCTAGTATCTATTTTTACATTTATAAAATTTTAATTCAAGATTTTATTTTTTTTTAAAAAATAAGTTTTTTACCAACAGATCATTGATAAACATTCATAGACTTTGCAAGGAAAGAGAAAAAGATTGAAGGTATAATTGCCAACATCACTAAAAGTTGGAGCCCTTTATGATTCTCTACCTATCCTTGGCTTCTCTTTTGTTTTTTTGTCATTTTAATGAAAACCAGAGACAAATCCTGTCTCTATCTATCTCGCATCCCGAATCCTTATTAGTTATTACTCAAATTTAAGATATTTTTCTACCAAAAATTAAGATATTCTACATTGGCAAATATTTTGAAGAGATGAGACAGCCCCAAGAGCGAATCCTCACCGTTGCACAATTCAAAAACAATAATATGAAATTTTATTTTATAATTTAAATT